TATAAACTTCAACTGAACTCACAAGTCGTTAATCTAAACAAAAGTCATACGGCGTGGAAACAGAATGCAAAGACAAAGCTATCATAACACATTACTCCTCTGGCAAAAAGACGGGGAAAAAGGCAAAATGATAGAAACTACTGAATTACATATAATCCTGTCAATCATGAACAAAAGCTTGCGTTATCAAACAATACGTATATAAGCGCACCAAACTCTCATCCCAAAAAGACATTAAAAAACGTTACAAAGGTGCTATCAACTCAAAAAAGCGTCAGAAGTATTCCGGAAACAACACATAAACAAAAACAACTCTTAAAACGTCGATATCTCTGTACTCGACAAATCTCAAAACTCTTAAAAAAAACACGTGGGGGCATCACTCTCCCCATCATAATCCGTACTCATAAACTCATTAAAACACCATAAAAACTCACAAAACTCAAAACACTGTGTTGCAAATACTTGTCCACTGAGGCGCGCTTAAATCGTTATAAAGGACCTCGCACGTCACCAAATATCAGTTCGAAACAAAGATCTGGGCACTTACATACATACAATTCGACATCACAAAAAAAGGGTAAGAAAACAGATAGAAAAGCAAGCAATACATTACATTACTGAGCAATAGTGTTGGGATTGTGGAAAAGAGTTCAACGTCCTTGAGTTACACAGTGTCAGTTACAGTGTCCAGCGAGCGGTTCTCTAAGCAATACACAGATAGCTAAAGTCAAAGTCTATAAGCGTCTCTTCCCTTGTCGCGTTAGTCCGGGTCGTTCTTTCATCTTCTTCTTGTCTTTAATGTCGCTCAATTCTTAATTATACAGTCCTATCCGGTACTGGTCCTTCCGAAGGGGTTCTGAAATCTTCATCTCTTCAGCGTTGTACATCGGTGCCATACTGGTAAAGTCGTGAGTCGTCAAGCGCAGTTTCCGAGTCGTCGAGCTGTTAGTTCGGTTCACAAGAAAGACACACCTTCGCCATTTCACTTTTCTTCACAGGATGTCAATGTGTGTTAAACACCTGCCCGGGTTCTCCACCACGTGTCAGGGGGGAATTCTCTTTCTCTCGGGTCTCCACACTTGTCAGGGGGGGGGG